GCAATTCTTCTACATTAATTTCTGATTTTAATAGAGTTTCATTTAGTCTCCATCTATCTCTGCGTTTGTATTCGGCGTTGTTATTTATAACTAAACTTACTGGTGCATGGTCAGACCATGTTATGGGCCCAATTATCACTTTATTAACTCGCTCTAAAGTTTCAGCTTTAACCAAAAAAATAGTCGATTCTAGTATATGTCTGATGAACGTTTGAGTAAAACGTATAATCTCGCTCTTCTGGATTAAATGTTCTCCAGGAATCATATAAACAGTTTTTTGCTAAGAAAGTCTGCATCATTGATGGTCCTATTTTTTGATTGTCCTCCTTATCTGCAGGCTTAGTTCTGTTCCTGTCCACTTTATTATCTATAATGCAATTAAAATCCCCGCTGATAATTAGGCTTCCAGATGATACGCGGTCAACCTTTTGCATCAGATTACCCAGAAATCTGTATGGAAGTTGATTTGGAGCATAAACATTTACCAATGTATATAAAATATCATTAATTCGAACTATCACTATGAGAAACCTACCACCAAGGTCGGCCTCCTCATAAACCAACTCATATTTCAAGCTACTTGAAAAGAAGATTGCCACTCCTCTTTTCTTATTCTTTCCTGCCAAGTTGGATCTATGGACCACTGGAAATTTTTTATAATTCCATAGCTTAGATGTAGAGTTAACCCAATGTGTTTCTTGAACAAAACCGATATCCGTTTTGCTATCCATCAGTAATTTGTACAAATAACCTCTTTTCTGTCCTGAGTTTAAGCCCCTTGCGTTAATAGATAATATATTAAGTGACATCCTGCCGCAGCTCACCCCACACCCTCTTCCCCTCTAACCTCCCCTCAGGTAGCATCCAACACACAGATCCACTCATACCTTCCCCAGTCAACCATCCACTCATACCTTCCCCAGTTGGTAATATAAAATTAAACCTCCTGGAGAAGCTCAAACAACAATCTATTAGAACATTTGTTCCATAATATGAAGTACTATATATAGTTTTCAATCTAACCCTGCTGCCGTCGCAGGACCTTGAACCAGGATAGTGGGCCTTTTACCTCTACTCTGCCCCCTTTATCCAAAATATTCACTTTCAACCCCGGGATTTATCTACAAATTCCTCCCTAATGTAAAAAAAAAACCAAAAAACAAACAAACAATATTTATTAAATTTGTGAAATTTATGAATATTATTAACCTCCTTTTCGTTCATTTTGTGCAGCTAAATTTAATTATGTGTCTAATAATAACTATCTTTAAACTCTTCCTCCATATTTATTACTTTAAATGTGAGTCTATCTCCTTATTCTTCAATTTCTTTACTTTATATCTTTATATCTTTATATATGTGTCAACTATATTGTGTCAATATGTCTCTCCAAAAAACATTTCCATTGCAAGAAAAAAAAATAAAAAAATCCCTTTTTTTCTTATTTCTTCAAAAATTTACAAAATATTTACAAATACAATATCTGTTAAATTGGTAAGTATTATAAGACTCCTTTTGGTGAGTACCATAAAACTCCATTTCATTCATTTCGTGCAGCTAAATTTTATTGTGTATCTATATATATAAATTATAGCTTTGAGCTATTCCTCCATATTCGTTACTTTAGATGTGAATCTATCCTTATTCTTAAATTATATATGTCACTCTACATCACTCTAAAACATTTCCATTTCTACACCATGACAAGAGAAAAAAAAAAAAAAACATTTGAAATTAGAGAGTAAGTTTCAAAGTTATCAATTTCTGTTTGAGTGCCGTATTGTCTCTAAAGATATATGTTTGATCTTTAAAAAAGACCATAATTGCCATCGGAAACAGCCACTTATATCTTATCTCCTTGTTCCTAAGGATTGCCGTTTCCTCTGAAAAGGTTCTTCTTGCTTGTCTTGTTTTTTGTGATAAGTCCTGAAAAAAGTGTCTCCATTCTTCAGTGTCTAGAGTCCCATTCCTTGTTTTCTGCATTATTAGATTTTTTATCTGAAAGCTAGAAAAACAGATCATAACATCTCTTGGATAGGATTTATCAATTCCATTTGGTCTGGACAGTATATGAAATCTTTCAAAGGTTTCAGGGCCCAGCGTCAGTCGAGACAAAATTCTTGAAAAGAAACTGTCCAGATAAGAATATAAGTCTTCTTGTGTTATTGATTCTGGTATACCTCTAACTCTTATATTATTTCTCCTGGAGCGATCTTCTAAGTTTGTCATTTTAATCTCAATGTCATTCAATCTCTTCTCTAGCTGTGTATTAGATGCTTTGATTTGTTCGTATTCATGTTGTACTTTTTGTAATATAATTGCCTGACTTGAGAATTTCTCAGAAAGAATGGCAATTTCCGATCTAAGATCATTTATGTTATGTTCAATATCCGTTTTAATTTTTTTATGCAGGTTGTCCAACATTTGGGTTAATAATTGTTGCGTCAATCCCTGTGTGTTTGGCAAATGTGGAGAGTCATCCTCTGATATATTTGATGTTTGATGTACCGAGAGCTCAGCATTTTCTAAGGGCAAAGATTTTCGTTGCCTCTCTGATTCTGTAGATGCCATTTTAGGAGAATAAAATGCACCAATTGTTGCCTTCTTTCTCTCGATAATTTGGGCTTTCTCTTTCTTAGGAGCCATGTGTAGTGGTGGTAGTAGATCTCTTAAAGTGAACTTTTACTTCACTTAAGGATATTATATATTTCTTTAACGCATATATCTTTAAAAGGTTTCCTTTTTCCTTCCTTTTTTTTTTTCTTCCTTTCTTTTTTCCTTCTTCCTTCCCCTTTCTCTTTCTTCTTACAGGTATTGGTTATTAACTGATAGATTTTGACTTATAAATGTACCCCTCCGGCCTTCCTTATTTAAGAAGGGTTCTGGCTTTTTTTTTTTTTTCCTTTCTTTTTTTTTCCTTCTCTCTTTTTTCTCTCCTTTTCCTTCTCTTTTCTTTCCTCCTTTTTCCTTCCTCTCCTTCCCTTCCTCCTTTTTCTTCCCCTTTCTCTTCTCTTTTTTCTTTCTTTTTATTGTGACTTTAAATTTCAAATTTTAAATTTCAGATAGCTATCCCTTTAAATAGCAATCCTTTAATTGTCACATCAAGTATGAGGCAGAGGTCAGTGGAGGTCTGTAACAAATAGATGGGAAAGTGACTATTTACTCACAGATATTATTTTTATACACACTAGGACCGCTCTCATGTCCATCACATCAATGCCAAAAACCAATCTTCTATTTACAAAACGCAAATACCTGCAGACTGAGGGTTATACAATCAGTCTTATCAGCTCATTATCAGCCCAATATCCTTTTTAATGCCGTCAAACTCGATATATTTACTGCATCATTGGAGCAGCAATAAGAGAAAATCTTCAGCTGCTCAGCCACATAGCAGGATCGTTGCCTAGCCGGCTTCAGTTTTTTTTTTTCCAGTGCCGCTGAGCTCGGCGTCCTCACTGCCTCGATACCTCGCTGCTTCGCTGCCTCACTTCCTGGTCCGAAAAAGCGTGCGGTCCTGCCGCTTACGGACGCACCTACTTCACATACCGCCTGCCCATCTCTCCAATCTCGATCACCAACTCCAGTTTTAATTATGGGGTTGGAGGACTCTGCTGTGTTTACTAATTATAAATCCGGTGGCAACAGAGGTGCATTATTATTTGTTTTTGCCTGCATCTATTTCCAAACCATGCAGTGCCCTAGAATTGCTCATCAGAGCCATCAGGCTGATCCCTGTCCAACATTCTGACACAGATCGATCCTGGCTTATGTTTTAGGATTCATTTAGTCATAATGTGAATTTTGTTCTAAATTAAGAAATACCTACAGTGTGTAACTTATTGTGTGGATCAGCAAATATATATTGGATTACATCACAGCTACACAAGGCTTCCTTGCTACAGTTCTTCTTGTCTGATAATTGCACTTTGTGTCCAATCATTGAGTGTAATCTTCCCCTATTTATTGTATCTCTGCAAGGCTTTTAGCATTAAGCCTGGTTTGAAAAATACGGTAAACCATAATAACTAAATAAAAACAAAAAATTTTTTACTCCTGTGAAATGCCAGCAATTCCCTGTTCTAAACACAAAACATTTGACTTTGTGGGTGCAAATGAGGCACATTGTTTCTCTGGGCTGAAATTCTAATATTTGCTTTTCTTCCCTTGCCTAATTATCTAGCGGAAATACAACAGGTAAAATGTCAGGCCGTTTTAATAAATGGTTGGAAAGAGAGTTTAGTAGAACGGTTCTGGTGTACCTAATGTACCACACAGGAGAGAGGGAGACAGACTAGCACTAAGCTGCTCAAAAACTGGTAATGATAGGGATTCACTAAAAACCTATATAGAACAAGGGAAAAGAACTCTCTAGAAGAGTGGGAATACCAGGAGCTGGCTAGGTGACTAATGGCTAAAATACTACTACATAGAGAATAAAAAATAAAAATATATATATGGTACTATGCCTTTAAATCTGGAATGGACAAAGTATCCCTATAAATGTGCAAAAATGTGAATAAAGGTGCTATGAGTGGAGATCTCAAATAAACGGGATATCCCTTTAAATATGCAAAAATACAAAGAGAATGCTGCTATACCTTTAAATGTCCTTTAAGAGTGTGCAAACATGCAAAGCAGTGCTATATAGGGGGGGGTGATAAATAAAAAAAAAACCAAAAAAAAAAAACGTATATATATAAAAATAAATAAATAAATACTGTGACAGAAAGCAAGGAATTGTGCTGGAAGGAACCTATATACCTCCCCAGATTTTGCAAGGTTCTTACTTTGTGTAATTAGCCCCAGGGAAATGTGTTATGTTCTAATGAATGTTGCACTTTAAAATGTGTATATTTGGGCCCTGGGGTGGAGCACCTGGAGAGTAGGGTGGGCCAGTGCTCCACTCCACATTTTGGAAGTTGCTTGGTGAGAAGTCCAGTTCTGGAGTTTGAATCCTAATCTAACTCACCTGAAAAGGATTCTCAATTACCAGTGCTATAAAGTACTCCCCTGCCAAGGAAGAGGGGAGATTGTGTTTGGTTTCTGTGAGTGGAAACAGAGAGCTGAAAACCCTGAAGCAGTAAGGCTGTTTATGTTTATGTTTATGTTGGGAAATGGACAAGCCATCCAACCCAGTTAGCTGATTATTCTGTTTAGTTAGTGCTCAGAAGAGCAAGGCTTTTGTTTGATATATTTTTGTTACCTTTATACATTACTGTGCATTTATTTTGGAACCTCAATAAAAGAGCAAGTCAGTTTACCTCATCCAGCGTGTGAAGTGTCTCTAAAGCCTGAAAAGACTGTGTGTAACACCCCGATCCCAGGACAAGGTACCAAGGGAAAGGAGTACTTTTGTCACAATACAAAAATGCAAAAAGGGGAAAGGCCCAGAGGAGGCGGGCTGAAAAGCTAGCCGGATAGGAGGCATGTGTGGGTGTGGTGGGTGTAGGTGTCACATGTGGGGGATGTCACTTAGGATAGGGGTGGGGTGGGGTCATATAAAAGGGCAGTCATTTTGTCCCTTACCTCAGCCATCTTAGAATAACGGCTGGTAACATCTTCCTCCTTGCTGCCTGTTACCACTGCTTGTCTCACGGCCAGGGCATGGACATTGAAGCCATCTTGTCTGCCCTCAGGGCTGAGGCCCTTCAAGATGGGGGACGTCACCTGCAGTCCCAGCTGGCGCGGCTGCAGGGTGCTGCTGGGTCGGCTGTTCCCTCTGTCTCCAGCCCCAGCGTTCAGCGCCACCGTGCACGCCCCCCTACCCGGTATAGCCCCTCGCGGGAGGGTCGGGTGAGGGGTAGGAGCAGGAGCCCTGTGGCCGGGCCGCGCGCCAGTTCTCAGGTGGCCGGCGAGGCTTCCCCCACTCCTGGCACTTCCTCCCCGAGCGGCGGTCTGATGCGGCCCACGCTGCCTCTCACACACCTCCCCCGCCGGTCTCGCGGGCATTGAGGAGGGCGGCGGCGAGACCGGCGTTCGGGAGGGCTCCAGCAACAAGAGCTTCCCAGCATGCGGCTCCCGTGACCCGTGGGTTGCTAACCCACTCCTCCGGTCGGGTGAGTAGGCCGCAGGTCGGCAGGGTCGTTTCCGGGGGGGGGGGGATCTGGGGGCCATGGGAAGACTGCAGTTTCACTTCACCCCCACAGCAGCTCCCCTCCTGCTCTGCCCTCCTTCCCTGCCTCCCCTGGGCCTGCTCCTGGCACTTCTTATAATGCCACCCCACCTACAGTGGGTCCCTCTGGGGTTGGCACTCCCCCTCTTCCCACTGTCTCTGCCCCATCACTCCTCCCCTCCCCCTCACCTGCCCCCCTTGTGTCAGGGATCCTCCCTGGTACTCCTGGTCCTGCCCTTGGCTCACTGTCTGCCCCATCTGCGGGCCCTCTCAGGGTGGGGGTCCATCATGGTTTACCTGTCCCTCCCCATCATCCTGGGCCTGATCCGGGCACCCTCCTTGACGGGTCCCATTCCACCTTTCCTGGCCCTACGTCTGTTACTTTACCATCCGTCTCTCCAGGTACTTTCACGGTGGGTGTGGGAGGGTTGGGTTCCTTTTCACCTTTACTTTCTTCACAGAGTGTCCCTGGTCGGGTGCGTTTCTCTGACGCTGGCGCTGGTGCAGTCCCTTCCGCGGTTACAGCTCCCGTGGTTCCGCCGCAACCCGTGGACCAGGTTATGGGGTCGCCGCAGCTGCCGTCACATTCCGTTGCCGCTGGTGAGTACGCTCAGGGGATGCCTTAAGGGGTATTGGTGCAGGGGTCCTACCTCAATGGGACGCTTTAATACAAACCATGAGACAAGTTTTACAGTCTCTGGAGAAGGGTCATCGCCCAGGGCTGCAGCCCCTTTAGCCCTTGACGATCAGCTGCGGTCAGGGTGGGCGGCTGCTGGTGGTTCTGACCTTTCAGGGGTGGTAGCATTGCCCTCTACTGCCCCCGCAGGGCCCAGTGGCCCTGTGGTGCCAGTTCCTCCAGTGGCGGAACTTGAACCATCCAAAGGATCTTCGGATGACGCCGCGGCATCTTCGGGGTCAGGGGTAGCCCCCACTGCGCATGGGGCGGCTTACATGTGCTGGTCAGGCCCTCTAGGTTTCCATTTGACTCCGGAATTGCGCACCAAGATAGAAAAAGGGGAATTCGTTGAAATATTTTCATTACTCCCTATGGAGGATCTGCCTCGTGTTGATCCGGCGGCAAAAGACTCCGAAAAGGAGAAGGAGAAGTTTAGGTATCGGAAGATACCTAAAACTTTTGGTAATTGGATCAGGGCTTTTTCTATCCTGGCGAGTGTGATAGGCGAGAAGTCCCCCAATAAATGCTCATCCCTCTTTTGCTACCAGGATACGATATGGAACGCGTGCCGGACCTATGGCGGATTAGGCTGGTGGCGCTATGATGAGCAGTTTCGCCAGCGCATAGCGGTCCGCCCATCGTTGCGTTGGGACCAGATGGACATCGGCTTGTGGTTGGCCATCATGACCCGCCCGGCGTCGCATCAAGGGGGCCTCTCGTCCTTTCTCGGGGGGGGGCGGCGCAGGGTCTGCGACCGCTGCGTCGGCCAATCAGCGTCGAACGGGCTGCTGCTGGCAGTATAACGACGGGCAATGTAAATTCGGCACGGGTTGTCGTTTCAAGCACGAGTGCTCTGGGTGCGGCGAATCGCACCCCGCCTCCAAATGCTTTAAGCGAGGCAGGACTGGCGACAAGGGTGACGCCATGGGCTCTAAGGGCGAGGACGCCAGTGGACGTCGGCGCGATGCAACCGTGGTTAAAACGTTATAGAAATAAAAAGGCGGCCGCCTTACTCCTGGAAGGTTTTTCGTTTGGTTTTTGGATTCCCCATCAACATCGTCCGGCGTCAAAGGTATGCCGGAATTTGCGTTCGGTCTATGACCACCCTGGGGTGGTCAGGGACAAGTTGGCCAAGGAAGTGGCTTTGGGGCGTATGGCAGGCCCTTTTCGGGAATCTCCTCTCCCTGATCTCCGGGTGTCGCCATTAGGCGTCGTACCCAAGAGAGAACAGGGAAAATTTCGGCTCATTCATCACTTATCGCACCCCCAAGGGGGTTCTGTAAATGATGACATTGCATCAGAATTATGCCGTGTTTCTTACGCCTCATTTGATGCTGCGGTTTGTATGGTCAGGGATGCTGGATCGGGGGCACTCATGGCAAAAGCAGACATCGAGTCTGCTTTTCGTCTTTTGCCAGTTCACCCGGGGTGTCATCACCTCTTAGGTTGCTATTTTGAGGGGCATTACTATGTGGACATGTGCCTCCCGATGGGCTGTGCGATATCCTGCTTTTACTTTGAATGTTTTAGTTCCTTTCTTGAATGGGTGGTGAGAATGGAGTCTGGTCACAACTCCCTCCTTCATTACCTAGACGATTTTTTGTGTGTTGGTCCCGCGCACTCCTCAATCTGCGCACATATTTTGCAGTCGTTGGCGGATGTGGCCTCTGGGTTTGGTGTGCCTCTGGCGCCCGACAAGACAGTTGGCCCTTCCACGTGCCTGTGTTTCCTTGGAATTGAGATTGATTCAGTTATCGGGGAATGTCGGCTCCCAGTGGACAAACTGGTGGACTTACGGGGGTCTGTGCGGGAAGCGGGCTCCTTGCGAAAGATCACTCTCCGGCGCCTTCAATCCCTCTTAGGCAAGCTGAACTTTGCCTGTCGGATCATGCCTATGGGCAGAGTATTCAACAGGCGCCTGGCGGCCGCCACGGCTGAAATCTCGAAGCCCTTACATTTCATCCGCTTAACCAAGGCGCTCAGGGATGATCTGGTAGTCTGGGCTGTTTTCCTTGAAACTTACAATGGAAGGTCTTATTGGCAACAGCCTGAGGTTTCGAATGCCGCGCTTCACTTGTTTACAGACGCTGCGGGTTCCTCTGGTTTTGGGGCAATCCTGGGGCCTCATTGATGCAGAGCCGTGGCCTGTATCGTGGGTCGATTCAGGCCTTACCAAGAACTTGGCGTTCTTGGAGCTCTTCCCCATCTTG